GGTTTCACCCACAGGGTTGTCTTGATTGCTACAACAGATACTGGCTTTTGAACTTTGCATTTATAACAGTCTGGATGGTTCTTTTCCACCTTGCCCCGAAAGACATGACATCCACTATTTCCAAAAACAATTTGAAATGTGGACTCGTCAGACCACAGAACACTTTTCCACTTTGCATCAGTCCATCTTAGATGAGCTCGGGCCAAGAGAAGCTGGCGGCATTTCTGGATGTTGTTGATAAATGGCTTTCGCTTTGCATAGTAGAGTTTTAACTTGCACTTACAGATGTAGCAACGAACTGTATTTACTGACAGTGTTTTTCTGAAGTGTTCCTGAGCCCATGTGGCGATATCCTTTACACATTGATATTGTTTTTTTGTTACAGTGCCGCCTGAGGGATCGAAGGTCACAGGCATTCAATGTTGGTTTTCGGCTGTGCTGCTTACGCGTAGTGATTTCCCCAGATTCTCTGAACCTTTTGATGATATTATGGACTGTAGATGTTGAAATCCCTAAATTCTTTGCAATTGTACGTTGTTCTTAAACTGTTTGACTATTTGCTCTCGCAGTCGTTCACAAAGTGGTGAACCTCACCCCATCCTTGCTTGTGAATGACTGAGAATTTTTGGGGAAGCTGCTTTTATACCCAATCATGGCACCCACCTGTTCCTAATTAGCCTGCTCACCTGTAGGATGTTCCAAATAGGTGTTTGATGAGGTGCTGTACAGAGGAGACAGGACCTTATCGATGGATTCTGACATGTAAAGTATAAGTTTAGAAAGTGCTCTTGCTATTTAATCAGTGATAAAAATCCAATAGAAATCCATAACAATGTGCCTCAGGGGCAGCAACACACCGTTTGGTGAGGTTAATAATTATTTTTGTTCAGCCTCTGTCAGACTCTCCAGTCTGCTCTACATTACAAACTTGTAAAAATGAGCAGACCGAAGAAAAGAGAAGTGGACAGTGAGTGCCCAGTGTTTAATAAGGAGTGGACAACAATTTGTTTTTTCACTGAAGTCCAATCAACAGCTGTATGTCTGATATGCCAAGAAACTGTTGAGGTTTTCAAAAAATACAATACTAGCCATCACTTTGCCAGAAGGCATCCTATCTTCACTGGCAAGCAGTCAATGCAAGAATGAGCTGCTACTGCTCAGAGGTTTATAGGTAATTTACAGACTGAGCAAAACATTTTTCACTGTCAAATTGCTATCCAAGAGTCAAGTACCAAGGCAGGTTTTATGCTGGCATTCAAATCAGCAAAGGCTAGTAAGCCTTTCTCCAAAGGCCAGTTTTTGAAAGAATGCATGGTAGAGACAGCAGGTCTGTTGTATCCAGAGCACAGGCAAGTTAGAAAAAATAAGTTTATCGTACACCACAGGAGCTACAATTGGAACTGATCTCTCTTCAGTCTGACTCTTGCCTTAAAGTTCAACTCCTAAACTGAATGACTTTTAAGATTTCCAAACCTCTGGATGATGGCACAGAAGATGCTGGTGTAGTTTGGCCTAATTTACATCATACACATGAACAAATGGTCAACTGTAATGACAAGATCCAAAAAAAAAAAAAAAAAAAAAAAAAGAAAGGAAGAAAGAAAGAAAGAAAACAAAAGAAAGCTGCTGAATTGAGATAACTAACCCTGATGTTAAGGCATCTATGCAGAATTATGTATTGTTGGCTAGTTAGCAATACGGACAGCAATAAACGTGGAAATTTCCAAAGGTGTCACCTCTAAAACAATCAGTTTTCTATGCATTTTTTTTTCTTGTTTCCCTGTTTATCTGATTTCTGAATGCTCATGTAAACTAGGAAGAGGCTGAATGCTACAGCTATCTGTGCTCTCATGTTAGCTAACAGGCTGTAAAATTTGTTTTTTTTTTTAGTTTTTTTTTTTTTTACTTCATATATGACTTGATCTCTCTCCTGATCAGCTCCATCTTCTCAAAGTCAAACAAGACTAATTTTGCAACTTTTCCAGCCATCATTACTGCTTATGGTTTAAAGGAGACTAACTGATTTTTACTTAAATACATGCATGTAAAGATACAATGTTAGATGTTCATTCTCTACCAAGGCCAAGTTTTACAACAGAAGATACACAGATGTAGAAACCATGTCCATGTGTATTTTTGTAGCTTTCTGAACAGCTGGTGTGTGTTCATTTTGCTGACTGATAGCCCCACTGTCAAAGTGTCTATTTTGCATGTTAGTGATTGTTCTGTGCAGTGCCAAACCATATCCTGCTGAAAATGGCAAACATAAAGTCAGTGTCAGAGTGAATAATGAATAGAAACTAAATGGCCTTTCCGTCTGAATATCGGGAAGCTTTCCCTGAGCCCTGAGAAGATCACCTCTGAGTATCTGCAACACCTCACCGCCCACCTTTATCAGTCTTCCTAAACACCACTGGCACACCACGTTTTGCCTCTGTCTAAAAGAGCAATATTTCTTGTCAGAGTGGAATAAAGTTTAGAATGGATTATTTACCCCTCTGCCAAAACTACTTAGAGGGAAAAACAAGTCAGGGTGCAAAAGAGTGGACTGAGGAGAAGGAAAGTGTGGGAGAAAACAGAGAGATATTGGCATGCAAGCGTTTGTCCATGGTCGGGCAGAGATCAGTGAATCGATAGCCTGATGGAGGACTGACAGAATGACAGCTCCATGCCGATCGCTAAAGGATGTCTAGGAAAAGCAGCAGAAGAGAGCAAGAAGGTGAAGAAATAGAGTGTTAGCAAGACAGAGGAGAGAGAGACTTATGGAGGCTGACAGCGAGCGGTAATGAATGATAATTGTTCATCAAGTGGACGTGATCAGTGTGTGGGGGCAAAGACCCTGGTCATTTCTTCAGACTTCTACACATCAGCGTCACGCCTGTCAGCACACACACACACACACACACACACACACACACACACACACACACACACACACACACACACACACAGGCAATAGGAGGTTGAAACAGCCTTTCCTGACAAATCAGCATTTCAATGCCTGCATAGGTCTGAGCCCATGATAACATTAATCTTCTACTGTAACGTTTGTACACAGTTTCTAAAAAATAAGTGAATGATTTTCTTCTTTGGCAAAGTTCAACACATTTCACAGCTCCCTGATTGATGAGCACAGACAAAGTTTGTTACTGTAAAGCTCAGGGACAGAGAGCTGAACCAGGACAGAAAAATCAACATAAATATCCCTCCCAGCGTTAAGTTTGCAATACACAAACAACTAGATTACCCCCCCAAAATTACATATGTAAATCTTAAAATATGTCTTCTTTCCTCTTTTTTAAATGGCTTGTGCTCTTGTGACAGAGAGCTCTGCAGAGATGAAATGTATTTGGCTTCATTGGGCTTCACCTCATTTGACCCCAACTTGTTTAAGTGTTGTGATGATAGTGTGTGGAAAATGTTTAATATCAAGAGGCAAACATCCCCTCCAGTTCACTGTACATATTACCAAATATGCATGTAGTGACCTACCTAGAGCCATGGATTTTAATAACATGCCGACTGATTCTTAGTGGAGGCTGGAAAGGAAGCATATTCTCACATTTACAGATGTGATATGGAGTACTTTTGGCTGGTTTACGAAGAGGAGCCACAGTGTGAACAGCTCCATAATTAATCTTTGACAAATCAATATGAGAGTTTCAGTTTGTGATTTAGTGGCAGCTGCTAATTCAAGGTTAATAGATCTTATTGGCTTGTGCCCTCGGATGGCTTTTGCTGTCTGTCCGTCACCCCACAACGTTAAGCTTTCCATTTCAGACTTTAAATATTCCAATAGAGAATAGTGGACCAAAAATATTGCACATATTAGTCTCATAAATGTATCTTATTTTATGTGCAAAAATAATTTATTATTCTGTACATACAAATACACCTGACAGCGGTTAAAAGATAAGGGCTGTAATAGGATAAAGAAAACAGCTGCAAAGATTCACTGCAATTCTCCAGCTGATGATAGAATAATTGTACTTTATTTTTTTAGTACAGTGATATTTAGATTTTATTATTGGGACAGAGGGATTGAAGTATTTGTTCTCTCTCCTTGATGCTACTCTCCGTATTGGGTTGCTCGATGGATGCCAGAAGACCTGGGGCCTTATGTATCAACACTTGCGTGGGACTCATACCAGAAACGTGCGCACGCAAAGTCCGTCACGCTGAAAAAAATCCGTACGTATCAATTTGTGCGGGCGCCGAAATCCACGTGTGTTTCCTTGATAAATCCCAACCAGCTTGGAATTGAGCGCAGATTTTGGAGTGACTGGGCCCGCCCCCGTTACGCCCTCACATAAATATGCAGATTTATTTAAATAGGGTCTCCCTGTCCTCGCACGCAGACAAAATGACAAGAAAAACTAAATTTACGGCGTGCGAGGTGGAGGTGCTGGTGGCGGAGGTGGAGGAGCGACAGCGTGTTTTGTTTGGCAGCCTGTCCAGTGGCTTGAGTGCAAAACGAAAACGCTTGGAGTGGGAGAAAGTTTGCGAGAGGGTGAACGCGGTGGGTTCCGAGACACGCACCCCCGCGGAGATTAAAAAAAAGTGGTCGGACCTCAAGGTGGAGGTCAAGCGGCGTGCAGCTGCCCTCCGGAGGAGTACCGGCCAGACAGGTGGGGGTCTGGGGGAGGAGACCCTCACGCCGTTTGAGCAGCGGGTGGTGGCGATTATTATTATAGGGTAAGTGGCGTGTCACACAAATGTCCACATGCTTTGCCATCCCACTGAGCAAAAGACGTATATTAGACGTCTAGTCTAAGTTTATACTTCATTTCAACGTCGGGATTCAGTCTATTTTTAGACGTGATTTATACTTCGCCCTTAACTTCATTTTTCGATAACTTTTTATGCAATAAACAACTGTAATGTGCATAACTGACCTCTAAATACTGGATTACATTACCTATGATACTGTGGAGAGAGATGTAAACGCAACAGATACACAGAAGCAGGAATTGAAATGAACCAATATTTTTATTGTGTCACAGAAATCAATGTGTCGGCCGTGTCGCCGGCTTGCGGAACCCCGGCCCGCGGCAGCCCGTCCGCCGGCTCGGAGTCGTCGGCCAGGACCAGCGGCATTCGGGCCACCCCGGACCCAGCACCAGCATCAGCACCAGCACCAGTGCGCCGACAAGCGGTGGAGCGTCCACCAGCCGCGGCGCTTCCGCCGGACCACCCGGACGCAGTGGAAGGGTCCTCACTGAGGCGGTCCTGCAATCGCAGGAAGAAATCATCAGGGGGATCGCAGGGATCAACGAGCGGCTGGACCAGCTCGTAAATGTCCTCGAGCGTCTGGTGGAGAAAATAAATTCATTTGGCTCATTGAACTGTGTATTCACTTCTTACCCATTCACACTGTGGCGATGAGATTCTCCCGTGAGGCACAGCGGCCCGGCAGGGATCAGCTCACATCCCTCCGTCTGCTGCTGGTTCGTCATGTGGGGCGATGTGATGCACACATGGGGATGCAGCAAACAGGTCCCCAGCAGTAGCAAATCAGCTTGTTAGGCTGGGTTAGTGAGCAGAGAAAGGGGGAGGGGTAGAGTTATTTAGTGGGATTTAGCTTTAGTTTGGTCTGTTTTGGGTTATTTAGTTATTTCGGGTTAATTTATATTCATTTATGTTCTTCCTATGAAGTATTAGGGCTATTGTATCTCCGGATTAAGTTGTTAGAGGTCAGATTTGCACATACCTATCACTAATCACTGTCATGCAGGTGAGAGAAAGAGGGAGGGGGGAGCAGGTGAGAGAGCCCCACTCAGCTTAAAAGTGGACACACCTGTGTGAGTGGGGAGAGGTGTGGGTGGCTTTTTGCAGCCTGCTACTCAAAGGATGATCATTAAGACTGCTGTGTGTGATCACTTGGATTTATTAAAAATATCAGAGCTCTGAAACCTGCTGTCTGACACCATCCTTTTTTCCTCATGCTGGAGATCTTCACTACCGCTTGGTTCCATTCCGTTTAGAGGTTTTATGACCATCAAAACCTTACAGTGAGTCACTAAACACCGCCACACAGCGTCGCCAAAGTGCCGTCAACGCAAGTATCAGCTCAACGCCAACTTCTACACCACCTCCTCACTTTGCGTTGATTAACGCTGGAACCGATGCTCGTTTCGCGATGATAAATCTGGACGTGTGCGCCGATTTTGGCGTACGCAAGGTTTTCTGGCGCCGCCAGCGTTGATACATAAGGCCCCAGGACACTGTACATAGATTCTAAAAAGACACGAAATGTTATAGAACTCAGAACACTAGTTAGACTGGTGAATGTAATGGGGGAGAGAGGAAGTCTACTTGACCTGGTTTTCATGAAGTTTGTGTACCTACAGCCAACAACCAGCCTTCAGACACGTTGACTTGCGTTACAATTCAAGACAATACAATACAATACAAGAACTCTATTGATCCCAAAGGGAATTTCATTCGTCTGGAGTCTCACGTCTCATGTCTCAAGCCATCTACTAATCACGGAAGAATTAAACTGTCAGGTTGTCCTGTATGTTTTGCACTGAACCCAAAAGCAGATTCGAAGCAGAGGGAAGTGTTGAATAATTTATTAAAAATGGAGGTGAGGGGGAGAGGATCCAAGGTATCTGTATGGTGCAGTGAGGAGCCGTGGTGCGTGAGTGTCAGTGAAGGCAGGTAAGTTATCCAGTGTGAGAGTTGTGGCAGCTGTGGCAAAGGTTGGGGCCTGGGCTTAAGAGACACTGGAGGAGAGAAGAGGAGAGCAGGGATTATTCTCATGAGGAGAATGCACAAGCAGTGGTAAAAGTTTTAAATTTGTAACACTCTGAAGCAGGTTGAAATACCATGAGAGATGTGGGAATAATCTGGCATAGAGAGTCTTCCAAGCAGAGCTTACGTGCAGCTGGTGATTACAGGTGATGAGGTGCAGGTGTGTTGGTGCAGGAAGAGCCAGAGATGAGCCGCCCAACATCTGTGGAAGAAATGATATCATTGAGTAGCTGCTCTGCATCATTGGCCATTTGGTCCATCAAGGTGTTATGAAGTGGATGACCCATGTGTTTTAGCAGGGCTGTACAGTGCAACATATACGTTGCAAATGCTACAAGAAAATCAACCTGTCCCAACAGTTTTTTTTTGTCTCATAGCACCGGTGCGATGACTGCCAGAGAGCCACTGTATACGTTTGCGTGTTTATATGTGTGTGCGTTACTTTGATCAGTATCTTCTCCTCAAATGCAGTATGGTAATTGGTAATTGTAGTATTACAAATGGTAATTGTAGTTTATAAATGTGTTCTTTGCCTGCCTGAAGACTGCATGTCACACACCAATTTTTTCACTGGTGCGTCACTTCCCGCAAGCCGGACACACAATTTGGCGTGATTTATGAGATGAGACAGAGAAAGTAGATGGAAAAATGAAAAGATACTAAAAAGTTCTGGAGAAAGGCAGGCAAAAATGGGCCCATGGAGAGGACTACAGTGGACCAGATACACCAAAAGACTCTGAAGACTTACAGATAAACCAAAGTAAGGACAATAAAAAAGGAAAACAGTGCAAATACGATGTTGAGTGGGAAATGGAATTCCCGTGGCTGGTACTTGATGCTAAAGCAGATTTTGTTCTTTAGGTGGTGCAGAAATGCATCGGGAGCTATCAGAGGGCAAAATCCATATGTGCAGGGCAGCAATATTTTTTAAAAAGACAATCTTAAAAAACACAGTACCTCCCACCACCATCTCCTTGTAAGAAATGTGTTTTTAACCAAACAGCAGTCTGAATGAGCTGGCACTTTGCTGCACTCATTAAAGAACCAAGTGGCCGAAGCCAGTCATGCTTCCCTCCAAGAGGTGAAAGCAAAAATGAATAAAGCATATTTTATTGCAAAAGAAGAGCTCCGTTTCACAAAGTTTGGATCTCTTATTTCTCACTGTTTAAAAAAAAAAAAAAAAGTAGCATATTTGACCCTCTTGCATGACAACCACGTCAGATGTGAAGAAATGATATCAATGATTACATCTAAAATAGAAGCCAACCTTGCTGCACAAATAAATGAAAGCTGCTACATCTCCATGATGATAGACAGGGACACAGACACGTCTAACAAGTTGGTTTATGTCTGGAGGCTTAAAAATAGGAAGCCAACTAATAACCTGGTAGGCCAACAGGAGCTACAGTACAGCCATGCTAAGAGTGAGTAATATTTTTTGTGTGTGTTCTGTTTTTTAGGGTGTAGCAATCAAGACAACCCTGGGTGTGAAACCCACACATTCCTCAGAGGAAAGTTTCCTTATCTGGTCCCAGGAAACAGGATATAAATCTTTCCAGACTCGTTTACACTTTCAGGTTAAATAAGTGACCCAACCGGAGGTTGACTAAACCTCCGACTCTTCACGATTGGTCAATTCGGAGAACAGAGACAGAGTTTTTATTACCTTTCAAACTGACTCCATTTGCTGACCATCTAAATAAACATTAACCTCAACCCAGATCTCCCATTTGAGATTTAGCGTCTTAAAGTGTGTGAACATACGGACCCCAGGAAAAGGGGGGACACTGACCTCCAGACCTCGGTCGTAAAACCCAGCTCGACCATACACTGATAAAGACTACATTCCTTTGGTGAAAGAATACAAATGACTGATCCTGACATCTTATACATTCAGCAATGTACTAATCTGTCTAATCATGAAATTTGTGTTAAAATGAGATGTTTCCCATTTTTCTATGTGCTCCAGAAGCCGAGTTATCGCTCTTTAGTTTCTTTAGACCAACAGCTTTTCAGACTGTTTCATGAACTTTTAAGAGTTACATTTATTGACTATGGATCATAACTTTACTCTATGAACACAGAAATAGTTTAGAAATGTTTGGTCTATATTTTAATCGTTTATTTAGTATTTTTAACCATTAGGTGGTTATAATGTCATTGAATAACCTTAATGTGAGTATTTAGAATCCATTATTAATCATGATGAAGTTCATTCACATGTGTTTACTCTTTTGTTGTTCACAGTTTCCATGTGTTACTATCTGTTTCATTTCAGAGTAATTTAGCATGTTCAATGTGATACTTAAAACATAATGAGAATGTTTGATGTGATCCTACACTTCATTCATATGTGTTTAGTGTCAAATTATTTATCATGAAACCAAACATTCAATGATATTAATCATAGTGAGTGAGTATCAGATCTGACTCTTTTGCCAGCCAAAAGAATAAGTTAGATCAAATAATCAAAGACCACACGACCCCTCCTCTGTCTCCTCACACCCACGCCGGAGCCACTCCCAGTGTGAGAAGATAAAACCAGTGAAGTCGGGTTGCTCGCTCTCTTATGCTCTTCTCTCTCTTATGCTTCTGCTCTTCTGCTGACTCTCTTGTCCCCGGCTCTTATGCCCCTTCTCTTCTGTCCACACCCTTCTGTGGTGCGTTTCTTTGTTTTCTCTTAGAACTTTTTCTTAGTCTTCTAAGTTTTACGCCACGTGTTGATTCACGTTGATTTTTCTTTAACATCGTCTTAGTTCAAGTTTTGAAACTTCAACTTTTTGTGCACATAGCAATTCAAGATTAAGCCTTTGATTGATTTTCTTTAATTTCGCGAAGCCATTTTTGAAAGTTTTCTCTGCTCTTCGAGCCTCGTTTTTCTGAGTTTTCTGCGTGATTTCAAAGTCACCTCCGAACGCAATCCAACAGGCCCAGGTCATCCTCTGTGCCAGAGTTTTTGAGTGAGACTAAAGAAGTACCCAAACGAGCATCCACAGGATCCACAGGCGCTGGTTTTTGCTTCGGGCCCGAGTGCTGCAACTCCTGGCTCATCCTTCGGCTGACTTCAGTCGTCTTCTGAGCTGAACCGCTCGAACCGCCAGTAGCCCCGGACCTTCGGAACCTGCTCCATCTTCTCCAAGGACCAGTCTCACTTAAGTATGCAAACCTCCAGAGCTCTAAAGAGGGCTGGTGCTGTCTCCTGCGTTCAACTCAGATATCCTCTTATTCTGGTAATCTTAGATTCCTCCAAATCCACATCCGAGTTTATCTCGACACTAAAGTTAGTGTAGGTTAATATGTTAGCGCATATTCACTCACTATCATTAACTTTAGTGCTCCTAGCCTGACTCAGAATCTTTATTTATTCACCTATTATTATTTTATCCTCATTATCTTATCATCATTTATTGCATGTGTGTTGTACCATCATTTATCCTGTAATAAACAGATCATTATTTTTCTAAGTTCCTGTCTGTTAGTGTTCTTCCAGAAGTGGAGTCCCTGAAATTAGAATTTCGACTTAAGATATGAGACTGATTAATTAAGACTGATTAATTAAGACTGATTAATTAAAACTGACTTGATGTTTGATTTCTGAATTAAACTTTTGTTTTCTTTATTTTCCCACCATTAAGGGTGGGTGGTGCCCCTTTTAACGAGTGCATAAATGTCATGATTTGAGATTATTAATCTTCAGACATTTATTATAAATTCCAATCGCTGCAGTATTATTTTGGTGCGGCCTTGTGAGGCTCATTTCAAATCGCTACATATATTTTGGTGCGACCGTATGAGGCTCATTTCAAATCACTACATATATTTTGGAGCCCCTGCGTGAGGCGTTTCAAACAAAACTTCTGGATACTAACAGACAACCTAAAACTTAGCCTTCCAAATTGATGAGAGAAACTTATTTCCAGGCTATTTTAGACTTAATCACAATCAATGCTATGCTTGCTGAAGTTGCTTGACGAAGTTCTGATGTTTTCCTGATCTATGCATAAAACCTTTATGCTCTGTGTTTCACACACTTTTGTACTACATGCCTGTAGTCTGTGTTTGAGCTGGACAGCGTGAAATGTTGTTCTGAGTAGCAGTGAGACTGACTCCTCTGCTCTGTCTAGACTGTCCAATATTTAAGTGCACGATTGTTGCGTCGCCGTACGCTTGTATTTAAGGCCTTTGGCTGAACCCAGTGTTCGCGATGCTCCGAGCTGTGGTTTCAAGCCCCTGAAGTCTCTGTAGTCTGCTACGAGGTTCTAGTAACTATATGGGATTCAGATTTCCTCCTTTCCCCTGACAGATTAGCTATCTGTCACAGGAAACCACTGTAACAGTGGGAGGTTGTTGTTTGATTGAATTCAGACAAAATTTGTGATCACAAATCGCCGCATTTGTGATTTTAAAGTCTGCAGTTGAATCTGCTGTTGAGGGATTTGTCACTTTGATTCCTGTCTCTATATTCGGCTACGAAGTTCTAGTAACTATATGGGATTCAGAACTATATGGGATTCAGATTTCCTCCTTTCCCCTGACAGATTAACCACCTGTCGCAGGAAACCACTGTAACAGTGGGAGGTTGTTGTTTGAATGAATTCAGACAAAATTCGTGACCACAAATCGCCGCATTTGTGATTTTAAAGTCCGCAGTTGAATCTGCTGTTTAAGGATTTGTCACGTCGATTCTTGTTCCTGTAAATGATTCTATTGAACCAATCTGCCTGAGCAGATGGTGCAAAGCTCTATGTTTGAGGGTGCAGACGCAGCCTGCTGTGAAATGTTAACCCTTTGTTGTCAGTGGAGAGACTGACCATTTGGCCTTAAGCAGATAAGGCCCTTCGAGGAGGCAGAGCCTAAAGGCCCCTTCCTTCATACTTCCCAACTCCTCACAGCCACAAGAGGCTAGTTGGATGACTGTTTCCTCTTTTCTTCTTCTTCTCCACTAGTGTTGAGCTTGTGCAGTTCTCCCAACTCCATACTGCCCCACATGGTTGCTTTTGGTATTGAGCTAACACTTATCTGCCTGCAGTATCAGCCAGCTGTACTGCCTCTCTGTAGTCAGTGCGTAACACTCTACAGGAATAATTCAAGTGATTGACTTGGTTGATGAAGTTTGATGTGCTTATTCTAAATCATTGATCATTGACTTTTGATTTTTATCTTTGTTATAAGAGCCTCCATAATGTATTGATAAAGTAACTCCTTGAATCAATCACCTGAGCTTGTT